AATGAAAATATTGATTGTAATTTCTAATATCAATTAGTATTTCAAATGTGATTAAAACTTACAGTATATCAGTATATAAATTAGAAAATTAATTGTTAATTAGGGTATATAAATAAAAAAGAATATCGCCGCTACTTCAATCCTTAAATTTCGGATCTATATTATCGTCAATTTCAATTTTGAAACGTTTTCCTGTTTTCAAATATTTTTTTTAAAAAAAAAATATATATATAATAAATAATCGAATATAAAATATTATACGCAAATAAAATAAATAAGGAAAAGATACCATTATTGCTTTGATCTTTAGTTTGAAACTCATTTATTTTTTGCTTATTCGAAGACTTTAAGGTTAAAGTAAATGTATTTAATGGCTTATTAACACAATTTTGAGTAACTGAAGCATTTTGAATATTATTTATATCAAACTCTTGTACTCTTGAAAAGTATTCTAATCTAAAAAAATAACATCAAACAAAGTTAATCTAAAATAAATTTAAAGACATTAATAATTTTTAAATTAAATTAAAGCATACCTTCACTTTTCAACGATGAACAAATAGATGAGGATTTAATAGTCATTGGGTTTAATGCCCTGCTCGTAAATATTGCTTTTGGATGAATTTCACTAAATTCGGGACCAAATTTCATTGATTGAATCAATTCCGACCTTTTTATTTCAGCTTGTATAAATTCTTGACAGAAAGGACACCATCCAGAAACTATACTAAAAATTTCAGTAATTAAGGGTCTTTTTGAAGGATCAGGATCCCAACATCTTTTCATTAATTCAGCATAAGATTTAGGCGTATCTTGAGTAATTTCAGGCCGCTTTCCATCAATAATTGCGTAAATAAGTTCAGTATCATGTTCAATATTATCAAAAGGTTTATGACCCGATGTTAATTCCCACATGATCATGCCCAAACTATAAATATCAGATTCTTTTGAAAACTTAACACCCTTAAATACTTTAGGTGCTATATATGGTATGACACCATATATTTCATTATTCTGCGAAACATCTACGGGTTGTGATAATCCCAAATCTCCAATACACCACTTACCATATCCCCTCAATCCACTTAAGTGAACTTGGCTCATTTAGTATATTTCTACTATGAAGATCTCGATGAAGAATATTTTTTTTATGAATATCATAAAGTCTAAAAGTTAAAAAAAAGTTATATTATACTGTATATATATTAATAAATGTTATAATTTTTTAAAAAATATAAATACCCTTCTGAAATATCACGTAAACTAGCTAATTTATTATCCCATGTAATATCTTTAAAATTTTTTTGTAAATATTTATGCAAATCACCTCTACTTGTATACACCATTATTAATATAAACTCCTTTGTCTTGGGATCTTGTGTAATTCCATAGCATCGAATAACATATGACATATCGTTAAAATGATATAATGATTTTAACTAAAATTATTATATAGAAAAATTTAATATAAAGTAAAATGTCTTTTATATAAGTAGTATTAAATAATTACCTCATTTTAAAAACTTTTGCTGATGGTTTGAGAGTGTAAGGTTCTTTTTATCGCAACTACTTCACTGCTATTGCTATAAGGATTTAATCTAATTGCTCGATAAACTATGCCATATCCCCCTTCCGCTATTTTTTTAAACTTGTAATTTGAGAATATGGAATCCATTCCAATGATTTAAAAGCATAAATACAAGGTTTAGAATTTCATTATACTTAATTAGATGATCAGCAATTTTGCAAATGATGTTAAATTTTGTATAATAGATAAATTCATCTATAATTGAATTTCCACTGGCAAAATTTGTGGTATCAATAGTGATTGATACTATTTCCTACATTGAGAATGATCAGTAATTCCAAATATTAAATTTGTCGTTGAGCAATATCTACATCCGGTATAAATTGTAAAACAATATGAACACCACTTTTGACAATCTGTTACAAAATTTAGTTTTCTATCACAACTTATACAAAAGTTTCTGGCATCCCACAATGGCAAATAAATTATTGGAATTGATTTTTTAATGACTGTTGATTCTGTCCGTCCATTAGAAATCAAATAACAATTAGGACACATTTCTCCATCAGATAAATTTTTTCTACATAGAAGACACTTATAGACGTAGATGTAATTTCGATTATTTCGAATTCTTTTATATTCATTACTATAAAATTTTTGTACAAAGTATAAAATTTCTGAGCAATTTAAACACCATTCTTGAATTCTATGCGTCAAAAAATTTGAATTTCTTGGTTCATGTTCACTACACTGAGTGTTATTTATACCTATACGAACATCCAAGTATATATTATTATCGGTTAAATACTAAATATACAAAGTTAAGCAACTTTTACAATATTTGTAATAATCTTTTATCGACCAAGAAAATTCAAGTCCACAATAATTGCAATTGTCGTCATTTTCATTAAATGAAATAAACAAAATTGGCACAGGGCTAGATTTTAAATTTGGGGTTGGGTCAAATTTCTCATTTTTCGTAAGTTCCATTTTTGTTATAAATTTAATTTGAAAGAAAAATTTTATTCAATTTATTATTTCTTTTTTTCGGAGACAAAGGTCCGATAGATTTCCATCTTAACCTTAAATGTATGTATATATAAAGACGGATTAGAAAGATTTTCAGCCACACAAGTGCATATCATTTTTTTAAAATTTTTTAAA